ATTGCGAGGGGCAGCCTCTAAGGTGGTCAGTCCTCAGCCATCACCGCCTCCCGGTACCCATGGCCTGTGCAACCCTCCCCTTTGAGTATGGATTGGACCTAGACTTGCATCAAATGAATACAATATGGCAGAAGTTATCAGACCTCATTCCTGAGACAAGATTCAAAAAAGACTTTGGTTTCCAGTCTCTCTCTCTCTTTTATTTATTTATTTTTTTTTGAGACAGAGTGCCCCTCCGTCACCCAGGCTGGAGTGCAGTGGTGTAATGACAGAGTGTCCCTCCGTCACCCAGGCTGGAATGCAGTGGTGTAATGACAGTGCCCGTCTGTCACCCAGGCTGGAGTACAGTGGTGTAATCTTGGCTCACTGCAACCTCCACCTCCTGCATTTAAGCAATTCTCTTGCCTCAGCGTCCTGAGCAACTGGGAGTACAGGTGCCCACCAACACACCCGGCTAATTTTTGTATTTTTGGTAGAGACGGGGTTTTGCCATGTTGGCAAGGCTGGTCTTGAACTCCTGAACTGAGGTGTCCACCCACCTTGGCCTGCCAAAGTGTTGGGGTTACAGGCATGAACCACCGTTCCCAGCCTGACTGAGTTTTAATAGAACATCACCAGTGTATCAAAATAAGGTTGTTCTATTTGTACAATAAATAAACTAAACTTTATTTATGTATTTATTTATTTTTGAGCAGAAGTCTCACTCTGTCTTCCAGGATGGAGTGAAGTGGCATGATCTCAGCTCACTGAAACCTCCGCCTCCTGTAATCCAGTAGCTGGGATTACAGGCACCTGCCACCACACTCGGCTAACTTTTGTGTTCTTATAGAGCCAAGGTTTTACCATATTGGCCAGGCTGGTCTCGAACTCCCGACCTCAAGTGATCCACCCACCTCAACCTCCCAAAGTGCTGGGATTGCAGGTGTGAGCCACCAGGCCTGGCCTAAACCAAACCTGATTTTGTAGTTGAGTTATAAACTAACAGGTTTATTACAAGTTTTATGCTTATACTTGAATCACACTTCCATACAAATCATTTAAGACAACACTGTGGGGTAGCAGAACGTGTCTTTCAGAAGATGACCACATATTGCTAAATTCTGAGAAACTGATGATTTGAGAGTCCGGCAAGCCTCAGGCTAAGGTCGTGTGTGCCAGAGCCTCAGAATTCCCACGCATATACTCTTAGATAACTACGTATAATCTCTTAAGAACACAAATCTGACTGTGCCTGTTTTATTTATCACACTAACGTTTGGCCCATCTGTAAATAGATGAGTGATTGTCATGTCCTGACTTAAAACACTTCAACGAGACCCGCTGCTCTAGGGATGAAGCCCACAGTCTGAAAAGGCTCTCCACGGTCCCCCTCTGCAGCCTGCTCCTAGCAACCCGGAAGCCTCTCCTTTGTTCTACAACTTGCTGTCAATCCCTGCCCTTCATCCAACTCACCCTAACTTTCACCGCTCCTGGTCATCTTAAACATCCCATCTTTCTCCCAGCTCTGACACGTCGGCATTAAAAGTGAACTGTGACCTACTGTTGGGTGCCATCTCTGTCCCCAGGTGAGATACCCGAGGGCTGGAAGCTGTGCGTCCTTAGCCCCATCCTCACCCTGCAGCATCCACGTTACACACAGTGGGGGCTCCATGAATCTAGGTTGAATGGATGGGTGGCCACTACATGAGTCTGGTTGGGACTCAAGCCTCACTCTGGAGAGCTCAGAATGAATCTGCTCATCAGCCAGGAAGGCAGTGGACTGGGGCTGTACCTGCCTCAGTTAAGAGACGGGAGCCCTGAGGGGCAGAGACAGCTTCCCCCGGAGTCGCTGCTGAGTCACCAGGGAAGCAGGAATTTCTGGTCCAATGTCTTCCTTACCTTAACGTTCAGGTCAGCAGAGTGAAGCTTTTTCTGGTAACTAAATTAACAAGGCCTCTCAACCACCTTTCTTTGTTTTTTGTTGTTTTGAGACAGGGTCTCACTCTGTTGCCCAGGCTGGAGTACAGCGGCATGATCACAGCTCACTGCAGCCTCGACCTCCCAGGTGGAAGCCATTCTCCTGCTTCAGCCTCCTGAGTAGCTAGGACCACAGGTGCACACCACCATGCCTGGCTAAATTTTTTAATTTTTTGAAGAGATGGTGTCTGGCTATGTTGCCCAGGCTGGTCTTGAACTCTAAGGTTCAAGCGACCCTCCTGCCTCAGTCTCCCAAAATGCTGAGGTTAAAGGCATGAGACACTGCGCCCAGTTCAGGCATCCTTCTTTCCATTTCTGGAAAATGCTGAAATCCAGTGCTTCCAGCACAGGGTCCTCTCCAGTTCCTGTCTCCACCCCCCAGTCCTCTGTCTGGTCCTCCACTCCTTGATTCTCCAGTGCAACTAGGACCACTGGGTCTCAAATGAAGCATCACCCGGTTTCTCAGCTGACCATTGGTCTCCCCTACGAACTTCATTTTGTACACCTGTTTCCTCAGCACCTGGCAAAACTGGCTGTGAGAAAATGCTCCCTGAGCAAATGAACGAGGCCCCTCTAGGAGGCTCGCATCCTCATTTATCACATGATTACCGTAAAACTCACCTTGGAGGGAAGAGGCCCAGGACAAGACACAGCAGGTTCTCAGTAACAATCACTTAGAACTGGGGTAAGTGGTCAAGGTGGCCGAGGGAGGGGAGGGCTTGGAGGCTTTCTACAGGCATCCTGGCCGTGGCATATAATTAGCGCTCATTAAAGACAGTTCCAGCTACTGTAGAAGCGACCACCTCCACACAGACTGCTTCCTTACCAATCCCTGGGAGAAAGAAGTTCCAACGAGAGGACAGCAGCACGAGAGCCAAGGAGGGGTTCAGGTCTGAGCCGACCTAGCAGGAAGTGAGTGCCTTGTCCAGCCTCCCGGCCTCCCCCTCTCCCTCCCTCCTCACACTTTTCATTGATCTTTGTGTCATTTCCTGGGTTTGCACAAGGCTGCATCTGGAGACAGCGCGCCCTGTTTCTCAGCTGACCTTTGGTGCTGTCTGCTGGCATCACCCGCCTCCTGGTGCTGCACGCTGCCCATCATCACGCACCACGGAGCCTCAGGATGCTGCTGAGCGCACCCTGGTCCACAGCCAGATGGAAGAGCACACCAATAGATGGCTGAACACCTGTCGGACCCTTGAGAACCCTTCTGCCAACTTTGAAGCAATGAAGTCCACTTGGCTCAGAGATCGAATCTCTCCAGCATGTCCCTTGAAGGTTACACCGTCCCTGCACCCGCACACCTGCACATCCTATAAAACCTGATGGTAACCAACACATCAGGAGTGTTTCACAAATACCTGGCCTGATGCAAAAATCCAAAGACAGAAAGGGAAAAAAGGGAATGGCAACGTAGGAAAGGCAGCTGGTGTTGGCAAATAAACTTCACGCTCCTTTGGCAGGATGCCTCGCACAGCTTATCAGTAGAGAAATGGATCACAGCAAGTTAACTGAACCCTGTATCCTATCAGTATTAACATGTCACTTCCGAAAAATAGATTCTTGAAAAACTGCTAGTGACATGGTCCCATGGTCTACCACCCTAACACCAGATTCTTACATCAGCAATGTATAAAACACTATTTTTAAAAAGCACGAATACGTAATCTCACCACCAAAATGTTTTTGAACATTAGCATTCTTTGGGAGAAAAAAAAATAAAAGTTGAAATTTTTTTTTCAGCTTTTTTTTTTTTATAAAAGGTACTTCACCTTTGACATTTCCTTTCACTGGTCAAAAGCCCATCGCTGGCTCATATTTATTAGCAACCCAGGGGATTCGTTCAGAAATTTTATTTTTGAATGATTGCTTAAGCTTAAATGAAAAAAAAGGGGGGGGCAACGCCCCTCTGGTGTGCAGAGAAACGCTTCTGCAGAAATTCAGTGCCCCCTGACCTTAAAGCATGCAAGGAGTTCTGTTTGCAAAGCTAAGGAGCAGCTTGTTGGGTCACCCTCAAGCCCAGCTTCAGCCTTGGCTTCCAAGAAGCTGAGGAACAGGAAGGGCTTTATCTGACAGCTTTGCCACTTCGCTCCCTCATGAACCACCCTGCCTTGGCACCCTGTTGCTTTCTCCCGGAGGGTCCCCTGGAGATAGATCCTAAGCAAAGCAGGGATACAGCTCTAAGTGGCCGGGAGGTCCCTCTGCTCCAACTTTGCTTTCTATTATTGCTACATTTCAGCAACCTTTTGTTTTGTTTTTGCATCTCTCTCGCTCCGTCGCCCAGGCTGGAGTACAGTGGCACCATCTCGGCCCACTGCAACCTCCGCCTCCCGGGTTCAAGTGATTCTCATGCCTCAGCCTCCCGAGTAGCTGGGATTACAGGCACGCGCCACCATGCCCAGCTAATTTTTGTTTTTGTTTGTTTTTTTTTTGAAATGGAGTCTCACTCTGTAGCCCAGACTGCAGTGCAGTGGCGCGACCTCGGCTCAGTGAAACCTCCGCCTCCCAGGTCCCAGTTCAAGCAATTTTCCTACCTCAGCCTCCCAAGCAGCTGGGATTATAGGCACAAGCAACAATGCTTAGCTAATTTTTGTATTTTTTTTTAGTAGAGACGGGGTTTCGCCACATTGGCCAGTCTGGTCCTGAACCCGCCTCGGCCTCTCAAGGTGCTGGGATGACAGGCGTGGCCACCGCGCCCGGCAGAGACCCAGGAATTTTAATTCTCTGGAGTGAGAGAAACCTAGGTGAAGTTCCCCGCCAGCTCACTTCCCAGCTGCGTGCCCCTAAGAGCGTAGACTTAACCACTCTCGGCCTCAGTTTCTCAGCCGCAAAAAGGGCTCAGGTGAGGGTGCAGTGCTGAGCTCCCCGCGCCGGAGCGCAGAGGAGATGGTGCTTACTATGAAGGCGGCTTCTTTCCGGAGCCAGGGGAGGAGGGCGGGGTGGCGGTTCGCAGCGCGAACGCGGGGTCCCAGGTAGGGACGGGGCGGTGACGACGGAGGGCATGCGGGGTCGGGCCACGTGCCCGGCGCGGGGTCGCCCCGACTCACCAAGGCTTCCTCCTCGTCCTTCTCCAGCGCCTGGTACTCCCGGCCCCCACCCGAGAAGCCGAGTTTCTTCAGGAACTTGGAGACGCGTCCCTCGACCATGGTGAGCAGGCGCAGGCGCTGCCTGCGTCCCTCGGTCCCCGGCGAGGCCCGGGCTGGCTGCACGCGCCCAAGCCTCCTGGGCCAGCCCGGGTTACCAAGTAGCCGTCTACCTGCCCTTGGCAGGTGAGGCCCCGCCCCCGGGGCGGGGCTGCGCATAGGGAGGCGCCGGCTCACCTGGCCCTGCCCCGCGAGCGCGCCTGGGACCCCAGGGCCTGCTGGCCAGTAAGGCCAGGGGACCGGCTGCGTCGCCTTAGGGCTTGGGCTGTTTCCCAAATTTGTAGATCCTAAGAATCACCTGGAGTGGGGGAGGCGGTGAAGCAAACGCTGGTTTGAAATCCGGATTCCCAGACCCCTCCTTACCCAATCATTGGGTTTGGAGCCGCAGAGGCTGGGTTTTTAACGAGCCCCAGGTGACCCTCGTGAGGAGCCCAGTGTGGGCCGCTCCAAGGTGCTGGGAACGAGGTGGCCAGAGCTGACTCAGACTCACACCTGCGGCTGTGCGCACTGGGCGGGTCACGTGGCCTCTTGGAGCCTCGGTGGCCTTGTCTATCATTAAGCAGGGAGCAGAGGCTAAGACCCCACCTCCAGGGCCCTGGCAGTGGTCCAGGAGCCGGAGCTACTGAGAACTCTACCGCCTTTGGCGCCTGCGTGGTCTTGGAGGGTCAGGGCCCTCTGTCGTCATCCGCAGGATCAGCTCCTGCTCTTGTTCATCGTGGGACCTGAGCAGGTTTCTTACATTTTTTGCGCCTTGGTTTACTGCGCTGCAGAATGGTCACCACGATAGCGCCTCCTTCACAGTGACAATGAGAGGGCCCAGCGGCAGTGCTGCACAGGAAGGTCTGCGGCAGGGCTCGGCGTAGAAAATCTGTGGGTATCCTCATGACACCAGCCTCATGATCATCACCATCATCATCACAAGGTGCTGAGCTCAATGACTCCCAAAGTATGTGAATACACACACAGTGTAGACAGTTGCCAGTCACCAAATGGCTGCTTTGAAGAGCAAGAGTTTTTTTTTTTTTTGAGATGGAGTCTTGCTGTCACCCAGGCTGGAGTGCAGTGGTCTGATCTCGGCTCACTGCAACCTCTGCCTCCCGGGTTCAAGCAATTCTCCTGCCTCAACCTCCCGGGTAGTTGGGGTTACAGGTGTGCACCACCACACCCGGCTAATTTGTTATATTTTTAGTAAAGACTGGGTTTCATCATGTTAGCCAGGATGGTCCTGATCTCCTGACCTCGTGATCTGGCCGCCTCGGCCTCCCAAAGTGCTGGGATTGCAGGCATGAGCCAAAACCCCCAGCAAGTTCAAGGGTTTTCTTTGGCTTCAGGTGGGACTAGATCCATAGTTAGACCTACCACTTAGCAAAGGGGGAGTTTGGGTAAGGCTGTGCCACTCCCCTCTGCCCTGGCTTCCTCATCTCTACAGGGAAGTGGCTTACCGGCTACAGGACGTGGCATCTGCATTTGTCCATGACCTTCATCCACCCCTTTTGAGCAAATATTTGCCACCTACTTCAATTACTCCCGAGGATTGACTCCAGCCCCCGAAAACCTGCGAGGTAGTTCCAGCAGCCCTTCTTGTTTCTCCAGCATCTTGCTTTTTTAAGAAGACAAAGGCTACAGTATCTGCCTCTACACAAAGGTGCAGGAATAATGGGAACAGCAAACCTCTGATGTGAGTCAGTCCAGATTTCAGTCCCAGGAATGTTCCTTTCAGCTATGTGACCTTGGGCAACTTTCTTCACCTCTCTCCACCTCAGTTTACTCATCCATAAAATGGGGAGGTCACTACCTATAGAGGTCAGGGTCCCAGTAGAAAACAGTGATTTGAGGAGAGTTTGAGAAACGGAGTTTTTACAAAGGTGTGAGGATGATGTAGAGAAACCAGAAGAGGTTGTGCCATTAACAAAGACAAGTAAAGAGTAAGAAGTGGCTTTGCTCCCACCCAAAGCCTGAAGGATGAGAGGAGAGCGGATGGAGAGGGGAGCTGGGGCTGGGGGGCGCTGATAACTTCAGCAGAGTAAAACTGCTTGGATCAGAAGTGGGAGAGCAGTGGAGCCAAGGATAGAGCCTCGTGGGCCAAGAATCTGAAGAAGAGTGGAGAATGGTGTAGAGGAGTCCAGGCACGGTGGCTCCCAGCACTTTGGGAGGCCAAGGTGGGCAGATCACCTGAGGTCAGGAGTTTGAGACCAGCCTGGGCAACATGGGGAAACCCTGGCTCTACTAAAAATACGAAAATTAGCCTGTCATGCACCTATAATCCCAGCTATTCTGGAGGCTGAGGCAGGAGAATCGCTTGAACCCAGGAGGTGGAAGTTGCAGTGAGTCAAGACTGCACCACTGCACTCCGGCGTGGAAACCAGAGCAAGACTCCATCTCAAAAAAAGAGTGCTGTAGAGGAACCAAGAGGAGACATCTGCAGCTAACGTCACATCCTATGGTGTAGGCTGTGTGAATGTGTACACAGGTAGAGTACCCAGTAGTAAGACACGGTAGTACCCAACATCACAGGTCCTCAGGCACTTCTGTAATATTATTCATATAAAAAAAAGTATGGGAACTTGGCACGGTTATTTCTCAGGTCCTTCCCAACTGGCATTCTGTGATGTCAAGATGATGTTGGGTCCAGGGAAGAAGAATACCTTCTTGGCATCTTCATGCTTTTCCAAGCTGTTAACCAGGTATCATCTCTCCAGATGGATCAGCATCCCTGGAGCTGGAGATATTGAAAGTCCAGGCTTTCAGATTCTATCACTATAGCTTCTGCTCCAGCCCAGAGATGTCAAGGCTGGAATTCCTGGGCTGGGTTTGAAAATGCCCAGGGCATTCCGGAAGGAAACTCTAGGTGGCAGATATATACACATACATTTTAGAGATGAGGTCTCACTCTGTAGTCCAGGCTGGAGAGCAGCGGTGCGATCATAGCTCACCGCAGGCTTGAACTCGTGGGCTCAAGCAAGTAGTAGGGGGGACAGGTCATACAACCATACCCAGCTAATTTTTAAATTTTTATTTATTTACTTTTTGAGATGGAGTCTTGCTCTGTCGCCTAGGCTGGAGTGCAGTGGCATTTTCTCGGCTCACTGCAAGCTCCGCCTTATGGGTTCAAGTGATTCTACTGCCTCAGCCTCCCGAGTAGCTGGGATTACAGGTGCTCGCCACCACGCCCGGCTAATTTTTGTATTTTTAGTACAGACAGGGTTTCACCATGTTGGCCAGGCTGGTCTCGAACTCCCAACCTCAGGTGATCCACACACCTCCGCCTCCCAAAGTACTGGGATTACAGGCATGAGCCACCGCACCTGGCCTCATTTTTATTTTTATGTAGAGATGGGGTCTTGCTATCCTGCCCAGGCTGGTACAATAGGTTTGTGGTGTATAAATTAGATAAATTAGGCTCTACGAGTGTTGCTTATGGTATGCCTGAAACATGGCACATACCTCAAAATATTTATCGAATATGTCTATCATAAACAGATCATTAAAATTTGTATTTAATAGAAGCTTCGTATGAACGAGTTGCTTTGTAATGGAGAAATGTACCATGTCTACACTGTTATGGCTCTCACTGTTAGATTGACTTCCGTCATCCTCTTTCAAGTTTAATTTCTGTGCCTTTTGGGGCAAGCACTCAATTTGCTGTTAATGTTCACTTTGGGTTTTAGATAAACATCTTACTGAAAGTTCTACTTGGAGCTACCTGAAAACATTTAAGAAATACAGACAAGAATTTACAGTCTGTTTCGGTTTCCTTTTCCAGATTTAAAGGACTTTTCCAACTTTAATTTTTGTTTTTCTAACTTTTGCATCCTCTTATATTCTAAGTAATTTGATCACCCAAAATAAACTCTTCTTTTATTTATTTATTTATTTGTTTATTTATTTATGAGACAGAGTCTTGCTCTGTGGCCCAGGCTGGAGTGCAGTGGTCGGATCTTGGCTTGCTGCAACCTTCACCTCCTGAGTTCAAGTGATTCTTGTGCCTCAGCCTCCAGAGTAGCTGGGACTACAGGCATGCACCAACACACCCAGTTATTTTTTTGTTTTTTTGTTTTTGCTTTTTAGCAGAGACGGGGTTTTGCCACGTTGGCCAGGCTGCTCTCGAACTTGTGACCTCAGGTGATCTAGCTGCCTGCCTCAGCCTCCCAAAGTGCTGGGATTACAGGTGAGTCCCTGTGCCTAACCCAGGCTCTTACCTTCTGAGCCGGTCTTTGTAGTGGTGGTTGTCCATTTCCCTGTGATTACACCTGCTATTTATCTTTGTCTTAAACGACCTTTCTGACCTGTCACTTTGTTTGTATTCTGTGGTCATCCCCACAGACTTCCAGATTCTGGTTTTTCAAGTTTTTAGTTTATTTCTTCTGCCTTCAGCCTATAAAATTCTAGAGGCTACTTGCAAACAATCTGACAAGACAGTTGGCTGGAGAACTTTTTGGGGTTTGCAGCTCAACGCCTGAGAGTGATCTGCCACACTGGCCAATGATGACTGCCAAGGGTGGGACCCAACCAAGGCACCTTGAACAATGAGGCCATGCTCTGCGACTCCCATTCACTCTCTATGTCAAAGTGCCATCTTCACTGCCCACAAATTCTCCCCAACGATGCATCCTGCTGGCAACCTCAAGGTGCCCGTATTTTGTTTGGTAACAAACTTCACCCACAGGTTCCATAAGGTTAAAATTGGAGGCATCCTTTTTGGAAAGGGTACACTGTACAAAGGTAGAATTTGTACAATTTGTTTCTAATTTTAGGAATTAGGTGGAAGTGATGGTTCCTTGCTTAAACCTTCAATTCTGTTTGTTTTGCAGTAGCTGTGCACACAGGCAGTCATCATTTTATAGATGGGAACGCCAGGACTTGGAGAGGTAAGGCCGTTTCATGCACTTAACAAATACTTTTCAGCACCTGCCACGTGGCGCTGGAGGTGCAGCTGGGAACACGATATTCCTTCCCTGCTTTCCTGCATCTCATCTCCTGCCGGGGGAGACAGGCTACGGACAAATCCATGTGGAGTGCGTGTGGTGAGTTGAATAACGCCTCCCCCTACAAAAGGTATGTCCAGGAAACTGTGAATTTGACCTTATTTGGAAAAAGACCTTTATAGATATAATTAAGGGTC